GCAGCCCCCCCCCGCAGCCTGTGCTGCCTGAGAAGCGGCGGATGTCAGCTGGGGACCGCTCCAACAGCCTGCCCAACTATGCCACCATCAACGGCAAGGCATCCTCGCCCCTCTCCAGTGGCATGTCCAGCCCCAGCTGTGGGAGCACTGTTACTTTCTCCCACACCCTACCGGACTTCTCCAAGTTCTCCATGCCAGGTAAGGGATGCTCTTGGAGGTTCTTGTGTCCCTCTGCTCTGTCTAGGGCTCTCCACTCCTTGCTGGCCAGCAGGGAAGGGGTTGCAACAGTGTCCTGATTTACCACTCCTGTCCATCTGCAAACCGGCAGCAGTACCAGGGCTCGGGCTATTTCCTGCACTTTCTGGTGAATCCAAACAGGAAAAGCACTGACCCGAAATTGTTGGTGTAAACAGCACCCAGAGTTATGTACAGGGAGATCAAAGCGACCGGAGGCAGCTTTTCTCTGTCGTGGGGAAGTGCTGACCTCCCAGCCCTGTTCCTGGCAGGCTTTACCCTGCCAAGACCCTGCTGCAGCACTGCCTCCTCCTTTCAAATGGTGTGCAGTGCCCCGGGTGCTGCCACGCCTGGAACGTCTTCAGCGTCTCCCGTTACAGGACACCTCCGTGACGCCAAGATCGGACTGATAGGATGAGGGGAATAATGCCATGGGGCAGCAGTGGCTCCGACTGCCAGGCTGGTTTTCCTGCCGAGTGGGCAGCCCTTTGTGGACATACTGGCGCCTACCTAGGCCTATGACTTGCCATGGTTGGGGACATCTCCCAGAGGGGAAGTGTGAGCAACAAGTGGGCTGGGTGGGGGAGTGAGCCTCCTGCCTCTCTGAAGGTGACCATATTGCAGAGAGCCGATAACATGTCTCCAGCAGAGATGCTATCTTGCCTACTAGGTTGTTTGCTTAGTTGTTTTTGGAAAGCAGGTGGTTGGAAACTTTGCCTGAGCAAAGTGGTGGCTTCATGGCTGGAGGATTGGCTCCCATTGGGAGCAAACCACTGATGGACAGCAAAGGAGGCAGGGTTGGGCTGGGGCTGAGGGCAGCATTTCCAAGGGTAGGTTGATCTTTGCAGTTCCTTTGCACAGATTGAAGATAAGGTTAGGAATTTTTTTTGAGATGGATGAGCCAAATCAGGAACATTAGAGAGCAGTGAAGGTCTTCTGAAGTCAGGGGATCTCCCCAGTACCTCCTGGACTAGCTCTTTTCTCCAACAGCTTTCATTTCACCTGGCCAGCTCCTCTTTAAATGACATATTCCTATTTTGTCTCTGCCTGTGTGACAAGGAGACTTGTTCCATGCACAAGCCCTTTGAGGGCCCTTGTGTTTGGGTTTAGCTTTAGATGTGCAACATCCCCATAAGTTCTAGCTGATGATCATTCTACCTGGGTGTAGAGGACTGGGTTGAGATTAAGACAATGTGTTGGGGCTGAGAAGAGATCAATGCTTTAACTGGATTTGCTGAAACCTCACCTGGTGTTTTAGATACAGCATCTCTTAGCTTTTTTTGCCTTCTCCTCTTTCCTTCTTTGCAGACATCAGCCCCGAGACTCGTGCCAATGTCAAGTTTGTGCAGGACACTTCCAAGTACTGGTACAAACCGGAGATCTCCAGGGAGCAAGGTGGGTAGATGGCACAGGGCAAAGTATATGGTCAAGTGAGTCACAGTCAGGAGTTGGGGGGTATCTGGGAACTCAGGGATTAGTGAGGATTTCCTTTAGGTGCTGGATTAGGAGTGAAGGTGGATTGTGGATGGTCAAACCATGGCAGAGGGGTTGTGAAGCTTAGCTGCAGGCTTGCATGTTGTGGGGTCCTTAAACCTCCCCCTTGGTGGAGGAACACTGGTCCCCACAGTGTGCTGTGGATCTATGCAGTTTGGGGTGCAAAGCACTCAGATCTTGAGTTGAGAGGGCTCAAAGGGGTCTTGGAGACACGGCTAAAATAAGAGGGAAAAGCAAGAAGGAGGCAAGGTGCCTTCAGGGCCAAGGTCCCAGCATTTGGTCCCTGGTCCCTGCCTCCTCTCCAGTTCTTGGTTGCTCAGATCTGGGCTGGGAATGGATGCTTTGAGATACCCACACAAAGGCAGCAGAGGCACAGGAGAAGATAAGGCCCTGCCTGGCTGCAGACCCACTTGAGATGCCTGTCCATATGTGCATGGGGGACAGCAATGTCCTGGTGTCTGGCTGTAGGCCACACAGCTGGGATGCCCCATCCCAACCCACACCTGCTGGTTTTGGTGGGCTGGTCGGCTCTCGCTGTGCCAGCTCTGAGGTCTGCTGTTCTCTCCTGCAGCCATTGCGCTGCTGAAGGACAAGGAGCCAGGGGCTTTCATCATCCGAGACAGCCACTCCTTCCGGGGAGCCTACGGCCTCGCCATGAAAGTAGCTTCTCCACCTCCCACGGTCATGCAGCAAAACAAGAAAGGTATTGTGTGCCCTTCTCCATCCCACGCTGAGATACTTTCCATCATTCATCTGGGGCAAGCAGGCAGCTGGGTCTGCTGAGACAGTCATGCCCTTGGGTATGTGCTGATGCGGCAGGATCCCTCCCTCCCAGGGCACGGGGAAGAACCAGACACCCTTGGCCCTGAGCTGCGGAGGGCTCAGGGGCATCTACATTTTGGGCTTTGGCTTGGTGAAACGGGCGCAGCCTCTCTGGCCCACCAACAGCATGGGGGAACCTGGCTTGGGGTTGACCCTGTGCAAAGGGCTGGATTTCAGGAGGGTGTGCACAGTGTCAGGTACTCCTCCCTCAAGCTGGAGCACTGGTTTCCACGTCAGACTGCAGAGTTGGAGGGGGAGTGGAGTGGCTCTGATGTGAGAACATCTTGTCTCTTCCCAGGAGACATCACCAATGAGCTGGTGAGGCACTTCCTCATTGAGACCAGCCCGCGGGGTGTGAAACTAAAAGGATGTCCCAACGAGCCCAATTTTGGTGAGTGCCCCCCAGTGTGCTTCCCACACACAGGCTTGGGTTGGGAGAGCCTTGCCTTTGCTAGGTTGTCAAGCAGACTATCTGGGAGAGCCCCCTCCTCTGTTTCTACCTCTTGTCTGCACATAACTGAGTCCTGTGTGCATTTGGAGCCTCTGGGGTCATGCACACTCGTGAGTGCACACAGATGTGCTCATGTGCCCAGGTATGTATGTGTGTATGTGCAGGACAAATGATGTTGCTGACAGGGTGGCAGGCAGGGGCTCCTCTTGTTCCATTTATGCCATGGCTACTGTGCTTCAGTGTGCTGCACAAGGACTGCTTCCCAAGAAACCCACCAAAAGCCTGTTCCCATCCACCTGGAGCAACAGTGGCCTAACACTGGGGAAAACTGCGTCCTCAGACCCATGCTGACTATCTTCCTTCTTTCCCCAGGCTGCCTCTCAGCTCTGGTTTACCAGCACTCCATCATGCCTTTGGCCCTGCCTTGCAAACTGGTCATTCCTGACAGAGGTAAGAGCCATGGCCAGAAGGTTGTGCCTCTGCCCCAACAGCCTGCCTGGGACAGGGTAGGTTTCCAAGCAGGGAGCAGCAATAACATCCCATCTGTTCTAGATCCCATGGAGGAAAAGAAAGACACTGCATCGGCCACCAACTCAGCCACAGACCTTCTCAAACAGGGTGCGGGTGAGTAGAGAGGGGCTGCTACGGGGTGAATGTGGCCTGAAGCAGTGGCTCACCCCACGCCTGTTGTCTCCCTTTCCAGCCTGCAACGTCCTCTTCATCAATTCAGTGGAGATGGAGTCACTGACGGGCCCCCAGGCTATTGCAAAGGCCGTTGCTGAGACGCTGGTGGCTGACCCCACACCTACTGCTACCATCGTCCACTTCAAAGTCTCTGCACAAGGCATCACCTTAACGGACAACCAGAGGAAGTAAGACCCCCATGGCCACGTCTCTGGGTTCCCAAAGCCAGTGGAGCTGTTACCCAGGGAGTGTGTTGGTGAAGGACATCCCTGGGGTCACATGAGCCTTGCCATGAGCAGGGGCTGGGCTTTGTCCTTGACTCCTGGAGCATCCTAGGGGAGAGCTATGGGAGTGTCCTCCATGTTGGTGAGGCTGGGCTGTGATGTGGCAGTGGTTGGGGCTCCCTGTCTCTGATCCTCTCTGCCTTGTGTTTCAGGTTGTTCTTCCGACGCCACTACCCCCTCAACACTGTCACCTTCTGTGACCTGGACCCCCAGGAGCGAAAGTGAGTGCCCTGACCGGAGGGGAGTGCATATCCCTGGCTTCTTTCCCTCCTCCAAGCCCCAAGGCTGCTTGGAGCAGGATCTTTGCTTGCTCCATCCCTCTTGCTCCCTCAAAGGGCTGGGGTGGAGGGTCCCCATGGATACTGTGAGGCAATACCAGCTTCTCCTGGTGACTTCTTTCTGTCTTCAAGCATCTTCATGCTAGGCAAGAGGCACATCTGGGTTTTCCCATAGAGCCAAGCCTGTACAAAGTCAGGCTAGCCCTCCAGCATTGGTGTGGTAACCCCATCATGGCCCCGTTTCTCTGTGAGGTACAAGAGGCATCAACCCTTACACCTCTTTCTCTTTGCAGGTGGACTAAAACTGACGGCAGTGGCCCAGCCAAGTAAGTACTTTCTGTGATCAGTTCCTCCCAGCTGCTGTCCGGGTGGCTTCTGCTTCTGTTTGAGCATTGGCTGGGAGACGTCTCATGCAGGACAGCGTGAGATGAACTCAGTTCCTCTCTGCAGGAACATTTCAGTCAAGCATGAGACCATAGTCCTGGGTACTTGGGAAGCATCTTTCCAGCCCCAGATTCCTGATCAGAGCAGGTGTGACCCTTGCTGAATTGGCCTTACTGGAAATTCTCCCAGTGGTCAGTGGGAGCCATTTCATGGAGCAGAGCTGGGGGTTATGTGAGCCATGGGCCGGAGCTTCCCTTTCCTCCTGTCCTCCCTGTCCTGACCCACAGGAGTTCAGAGCTGCCAGCTGAGCCCATTTCCAGGGGCCATTTCCCACTAATTTTAGCCATTGTGTTAGCAAAGGGGTTTTTATTAGGATGTCCAGCTGCTGGGATATTTCCCCTCTCCAATTAGAAATGCCACAGCCTGGGCCTGTCTCACATTCTGTTCCCCTGTATTTATAACTTGAGTTTGCACGTTCTAATTAAAAAAAAAAAAAAAAAAAAAAAAAAAAAAAAAAAAGAAATAAAAAAGGGGGGACAGGACATTTTATTCATTTGGGGAGAGACAGACAGAAATAACCACATGGTCTCTCCCAGCTCCTGTGTCCCCACATGGCCTTCTTCTCATAGAGGGTCTACCCCA